ATATTGACTTAGGTACTTCTTTTCTTATCTGGCACTTTGTGTTTTGTACTTTTGTTAATAGTATACATTCATTTGCAGCTATTGTTATCGCTCTAGCTACAATTTTTCAGTTCTCATCAATGCTTTCACTTTTTATATTTTGTAATCTACACTGTTGTTCTCTTTGCTTTCTTTTTGCATTTATCAGCAACCACTTTACTCTTTGGCTATATGCTTCCTAATCTTCTTTTATTGCCTTGTAGTATAAATAGATTCTTCTTGTTTCTCCTTAGCTTTTCTTAGTTCTTATTCGCTTTTTTTTGAATAAATCAATACTATTTAATTGCATCTACACTATACTATGATCACTATCTGTTATTGTTTTTAAACTATCAATATCCCTTTTTACGATGAATGGCTTTAAATCTTGACAGCACCATATATAATCAATTTGCATTACTACATTGCTATTTGTCCATGAAAACTTAGTAGAACTTAGGTTGCAGAAGCGAAACAACTCAATATAATCTAAATTGCTTAGCTATTTTATGATTTTTGTATTTGCATCTTTTGCTCATTTTTCTCTGCTACTAGTATCTAGATCATAATTGAATACAGCATTGAAATCTCCTATTATTATGCTATACATATTTTTCTTATTTTTGATAAACTTTTCTATGATTATCTTGTATACTTCTTTGGCTACTTTTTTATTTTTAGGTGGTATGTACAAAACCCACACCTGTATCATAATTTTTCTAAAATAAAACTCTGCTTTGAGAAGATAAGGACTAAATTTCTTGCATACTCCCATATGTCAAAGCTAGTTCTGATCTACTAGAAGGCCAATTCCTGATCCTTTATTCTTATTTTCTTCTGTATTCATCTAAAAACTTTTGTATAATTTATTCTCTGTATTAAACTATTTGCCTTCTTTTTCACTTATATTTGTTTCTACAATATCTACTAGATTAAATTATTCTTTGTTATAGTAATCTGCTAACCATTCTAACTTTAACATATCACCTTTTATTCTATTAATATTGTGCATTCCAAATTTGATCTTTCTCTTCTATACATACTTTGTTTCTTTATCTTTACTTCTCTTTAACTCTTCTTTTTGACTTTTGTTTTTCTATTAACACTTTAGTTTAGTATACTATATACTCTTTCTGTATATTTAAGTTTTCCTTCATAAGTTATACGGGCATCTTGTAGTTGGACCTTGGCTACTTTCAGAAGTGATTAGAAGTATTTTGCTCCTACTTACTTACTTTTTCTTCTAATTTGTGAATAAGTTGAACTACGTATGCTATTAACATATTATCATCTTATTGGCTTTCCATATTGCTTATTTGTCTATTGTTTTTTTCAGTTTTTCTCTTCTTGCTAGCTTCTTCTCCTTCATTTTTCTGTATATTTTCTTTCTTATTATACTGTTTTCTATTCTCGTAGCTGTTAGCTATATCTTCTTTTTTATTTATATCACTTTGTTCATGCTACTTGCTTCTCCATTCTTGCTCCAAGTTCATTCTCTTTTGTCTTGCTCTATCATATAATATTTCATTAGTATTAGCCTCTGCATTTTCCCAGGAGAGTCTTGTATTATAATATTATATACTATATCTTCTTGCTTGCTCTAACTTTTCTTTACCTTTAAATGAAACTACAGCAAATTCTTTATTATTTCCATTTATGTTTTTGAAGATATATACTGTTTTTGCTTCTTTATACTTAATTTGTCTAAACAGAAGTACTTCATTAGCTTCTCTTAGAATATTATATAATTTTGTCGTATGTTGTTTTCAGCTTTCAAGAACTTCTCTACTATTTAGTTCTGGTATGATACAGACTAGTACATTGTTTAGTAATAGTATAGCCTAGACTTCTTTTTCTTGGTTATTTATTCTCAATTCTTCAAATATGATTTCTGCTCTCATTTTCATACGGCCTTCTTGAATCATCTCGATATTTGCAACTCTTCTCATGTACATTACTGCTCTGAATACTTGAGTTCTTGAAATATGTAATAGAATATTCTACATTGTTATTGTCTTTTCTTCTCTGCTTATGCTCACTTTAAGTCTTTCTTGGTTCAAATCTCTTTTCTTTGAGCCTTCTAGGCCTTTACTCTTCTTATCATAGTATCGCTTTCTCTTTTCCTTTAGAATACTTCTCCTTCTATTTTCTTTAATTCCTTGATATCTTGTATCATTTTCTTCTTTTTCTGCTTCTATGGTGATATTTTTTGCTTATGCTTTTCTTTCTATTTTGTCTTTTTCATATACTATCTTTCCTTTTCTTTGTTTTTAATCTGGTTTATTTAGATCTTCACTTGTTCTTCTCTTAGTTCACCTCTTTTTCTCTCAATCTCTTCTAGTTCTATCTTTGCTTGCTTTTCTCTTTCTTCTTTGTTTGTATTCTGACTTTCTACTCTTTTTTCTTTTTTTGCTTATCATTATTCATTTTATTTGCTTTCTTATTAGTACTTCCTCTAGAATTAGATTTAGTTGCTCGTACTCTTCTTTATTGCTCTCAAATTTAGCTTTCACTTCTTCATAAACTCTTTTGTAATCGAAGTGTAAGATGTACTATAAATTTCTCTTTGCGAATCTTTCTTTAATCTCTCTTAAATGCTTGGTTCCTCTCAATGACTATCTAATATACTTTTCTCTTTGCTTCGCGTTGTTATCTAATATATTAATTGCTACTACTTTTGCTTTATATGTGTCTTCTTCTTTATATGTATCTTTTTTGAGTACCTATATGCTTTCATCAAGTGATAAGTCGCTATATTATGCCTTGAAATATTCTTCGAGTTGATCAAACTTTTCTTTGACTATATCATTTCTTGGCTTGATTTTTAGACTTTTATTAATTATTCTAATGTTTTCATTTTTTCCTCTTCGATTTCATTATTCTTGTCTTGTTCTTCAATTCTGCTTACTTTCATCTTTATCTCAACAACTATATCTTCTTCTTGTTCATACTTCTCTATATTTGTTATTGGTTCCATTTGCATTTCTACTTCTATGTTGCTTGTGCTTTTTTCTTCTATAACTAACTCTTCTTGTTTACTTTTTTGTGTTATTATTTCTTTTACTTTCTCTAGACTCTCTAGTATAGCAATTCTTTTCATCACTTCTCTCCATTGCCTTGCTACTGTAACTACTTCTTTATTAATTCTTATTTCTAATGCAATTGCTTTATCAAAGAACTCCTCTATTTTTTCTGCTTCACTACTTCCTTCTTGAAATAACTCTATTCTGTATTTTTCTATGAACCTCTTAGTCACTACCTTAGAATTTTCTTTGTTTCATATATTTGATTTACTTTGCTCCTAGCTTTATTTAGGTCTCTTCTATCTAATGTTCTACTTAGTTCTTTTCTTTCTTGTTCTTATAAATGACTTTGTTTTTTTTCTGAAATTCTCTAGAGTTTTTTTTTTTTACCAGTAAAATATCCAGTTTTAGTTAGGCGTATATACTTCTACTACTTGACATATGATATGTACAACTTCACTATCTTATGTTTGTTTGTTTACTTTAATTATATGTGTTTGTATTATCCCAAATGATCTACATTACAAGGTATCTCCAATTCCTACTTTTTCAATAATTTTTGGTTTTTCCATAGTCTTTTTCCTCAAAACTTCTTCTAGTCTTCTATTTTCTTCTTCTTTTTCTTATTTTTTATCTTTGTTATGTCTATTTCTTAGTTTTCTCTTCTTTTTGCTAGTGGCTTTGCTACTATTTCTTAGTAAAATTTTTAGATTTTTGGTTTTTTCTCTTAGCTCTGGAAATGGTCAAAATGATCAATAGAGAGAGTTCTTGTACTTTTTGTATATTTGAAGTAATTGATACTTTTTCAAGAATATTATTAATTATTATATTAAACTTTTTGTATTGCTTTATAAATATATTTAAAATTTTATTATGAATTAATTGCTATTTTAGAATTTTAAATAGTAAATCTAATTGAGTTCTGGCGATCTAGTATAGTAGATAGGTTGTCGGACCGCTATGCAATAGGTTTGGGATTCAATTCTTCTGTTGATACTTTGAATAATTACTTAAACCTTGTATCCAACTTACAGTAAACTCTGTCCGTTTCTAAAGTTGTAACCCTATAAATTATATTGTACCAATATTGTCTGGATATTAGAAGTATGACAGAATATTTGAGTTGTATTACATGAATAAATCGAAATAAGATCTATGGGCAGAGGATCTGCATAGTAGAAATCCCAAGTTAGGTGAAGTAGTACAGATTTCAATAGTCATGCTAGTTAATGCTTGATCCAACAAAGATTTCTGAGTATGAAGATATAGATCAAGTAGTTGTGAGTAAGTCTGTGACATTGGGTGTTATAGCAACACCAACTTGGCTTGGCAGCTAACTAGATTATGAGGATCTTCCTTATAAAACATTCAGAAGGATACAGAAGTCTAAACTGGTGGAGGGTTACAGCTAGAACTAGGTTTGTATGAATATCGAATAAGGTATATACAAGCTAGAATAGAGATATAGTGTAGCATAGTTGGATATCATGACACCTATCTGTTAGAGAGCGTTGAAGTGGGACTTATTCAGATAAGATCTGAGCCTATAATAGTAAAGTTGCGACTAATGTCAGCTTGGGTGCCTCCTGATATAGAGTAGCATAGGGTTTAAGTTAACTTTAAAGAGTAATATTTGCGATAAGTAGGATAGGGCCAGAGAGTTTAAATAGGGAATCTTCTAAGAGATTTCAGGTATGGCAGCTAGTGTAGAACCTTTGAGTGGACTACTTAAAATAGACAACCTAAAATTGTATGTATGGCTAGTTGTACTCTCACAATATGTATCACTTCTGAAATTTATGAAATTAATAAAAGTTAGCTGATAGCATTTGTATAAAGTAAAAAAAAAAAAAAAAAAAATAGTAGATCTAATTTATTTAATAATTCATAAAAAAAAAATGTATCTACTAAAGAAAATAGTTTTATACTTTGAATAATTCATTTTATTAAAAGCATTAGCTATTCTACTTGTTTTTTTTCAGAATATATTTTCATTATAGCTTTTTTTTCTAATAATTCATATTTAATTAAATGATCTTGAATACTTGTTGTACTTGTTTTTAGTACAAATACAAAACTACAACCTGAATATATACAATATTGATTTTTAGGATCATTTTTATTTATATATTTCAAACTTCTAATATATATTTATTAGAACTTTTAGAATTAGTTTCCTCAATTTCTATTATAGAATCTTTGACTTTATTAGTTATATCACAAATTTCATTAGCATTAATATTGATATTAGTATTAATACTATTAATTTTAAAAATTTGTATATCTAAATTAAGCATTTTATTATACTCTAATTTCTCTATTTTAGCAATATATTTATTAAAGTTATAATCTTTAAAATTATCCTTAAATTTATTTATGATATTTATTTTTAGTTTTAACATTAAGATTTTTTATTTTTTATTTTTATTTTTTTATTTTTAAAGTTACTTATATTGCTAAGTGAATTTTATTAGTTTGATATATAAGGTTCTATATGAGGTTCTCCTACAGTTTGTAATTATATAAAGAGTATATAACAAGCTATGTGTATAACTTTAGTCATTATCTAATAAAGTAGTTTGCTATATAAACAATAGATATCTGATTAGTTCTACACTATGCTACCATATCTGTAACCCATCTGTGAGTTATCTATTTAAATACTCTGTTCAACTAACCTATAAATCATATTGTACTAATATCATTCAGATATTAGAAGTGTAACAAGGCATTTGAAGAGATATAATATTACATG